GCCGTGCAGGCTGCCAGCGCCTCGCCGACTACCTGGACGCCGTGCGGAAGGACTTCGTGGCGGCGGCGCGGGTGCTGCGCGACAACTGCGAGGCGCACGGGCACAGCGAGAGCTGCTACAAGCTCGGGGCCTACCAGGCCATTGGGAAAGGTGAGCCAGGCCGTGGGGGGGGAGGGGAGGAAAGCCTTTTTTTCCCCGCCCTCCTGCGAGACCCGGCAGAAGGCCCTTTGTTACCGTTCAGGCCTCCGGTTGCCTCGGAAACCCTCGTGCTTGGTGCCGTCACACTCCTGCCTGAGCAGCTGGTGGCATGGTCGTGTTGCACAGTGGTGAATGTGTGGCAGGTTTTTCTTTTTACCTGCAGCATAGAGGGTACCAGTCTGTGGTGGCCCTGCCAGGAGTGTGAACTCCCCTGCTGTAAGGGCCACGGGAGCAGAGAGAGGGTGCCTGAATACCTGTGGCGAAATGTAGCTCTTATTTTTCAGGAGGTGCTGAGTACCTGCATTTCCTTCTGACCTTGAAAAAGAAAATAGGTGTCCTTCCTCTTTTATGGCCGCACGATTAAAGCGAGAGAAGGGTGGAAAACTTTTTTGTTCTGTAGTTTTCAGACTTTTTCAGTCGATCAAGGGTCACTGGCACTTCCCTGCAATATATATTTATAAGTTCATGCTCAAAGTTGCAGCCTCGGATCAGTCCTAATAGGTTTCTGTGACTTGGAAGACTGAGGAGAAAGTAAAAGTCTTGGCTGTTGTAATGGAACTGTAGCAACTCCTAGAGAGGTCTGCAGCATGCATTTGTATTTCTGCAGCTCGGGTTAGATTTAGGAGTGTTTATTGTCCCAAGTTATCTGCATCTTCTAGACTGTGACAATGCAAGGAGTAGAAATGTATGTTTTCTAGCTTAGAAAATGTTAAGCTATTTAAGATACTCCTTTTACTACCCAACTAAATGTATTAGATATAGTGTAAAAAAAAAAATCTTATTTTGAGCCCCGTTTACCTAAAGTACTTTCCTCTGAAGAACCAATTATAAGTTATGTTTAATTACTGAAACTATAAAAAACCTGAACTATAAACAAATAAATGTATAAGTGGTAGGTTTATTCAGTGCTGAGTGTGTCCTGTTTTTAAAACTTGGATTTCTTCCTGTCTTTTTTTTTTTTTTTTTTCCTTACAGAAAATAAGGAAGAAATAAACTTACAGATGGATGTCACTGTTTGCAGATACACAAATGTGTAGGCCCCAAGTCTGCCAAAGAAGTATCTGCTGGTGCAGTGATTTGAAGCAATTACATTAGTGAATCTCCTTGCAAATAACAAAGCAAGTGAGGAATGTGATGTTGTTACTGTAGTTTTAAAAAATAGTAACAGTTTCAGTGTACATATGATTATTCTGGCAAAAAATACTTAGTCTAGTGTAAGTTACTTAGGTTAGAGGTCTATGTAAATAGTGGAAAGAGGTTTGTTTGTTTTTTTTTTTTTGCCTACATGACTACTGTGTAGTGGAACAGGGTTCCCTAATTTGAGGGCATTAGCAAACCTATCGTAATTGAGACAACAGTTGTGTCTCTGAAGTCCTAAACGTAGACTGTAGCATCTCATAACGAGGAATGTTGTGAGCATTGGGAGACATGGTGCAAAGCAGAAAGTTTCATGGTTATGCAGCATGTGCTTACTGTAATCTTTTGGTTTCTTGGCTGACAGGTGGACTCGCGCCAGATTTGAAAGCTGCCTACAACTCCTTTATGAAGTCATGTGAGAAAGGTGGGAAGAGGTCAATAAAGGCCTGTCATAACGTTGGGCTGTTGGCCCATGATGGGCGAGTAAATGATGATAAACCTGACCCGGTTGTTGCTAGAGACTATTACACGAAAGCCTGTGATGGCAATTTTGCTCCTAGCTGCTTCAACCTCAGTGTAATATACCTCCAAGGAGCACCTGGCGTTCCTAGGGACATGAACCATGCTTTGCAGTATTCTCTGAAAGCATGTGAGCTGGGTCATGTGTGGGCTTGTGCCAATGCCAGTCGAATGTACAAAATGGGAGATGGCGTTGAGAAGAATGATACCAAAGCAGAAGCTTTGAAAAACAGGGCAAAACAGTTGCATAAAGAACAGAAAGAAGCATCGAGTTCTTTAACGTTTGGGGAGTAAAACTGTCAGTTGCAGTTCTTAAGACTGCAGTTTTACGTGTCAAGTGAACTTGTTGTTTAAATCACATGGGCATACAGTTTTTACTCTGAGTAAATATTCTGTAAGTTTTTGCATATACAAATAAACATATGTTTTGTGGACGCAACAAACATGGTCAACTCTGCTGTGCCTTTATCCATTTTTAAATACATATGTTTTTAGGTGCATTGCTTAGATTTCCCCCCCCCCCCTTTAAGGAGGGCAAAAACTTCTGGTCTTTTGGAAGTTTGTCCCTGTGGTTTCAAGCGTGGAGGGCTCTCCCTTGTGCGTAACACTTCGATATCAAGGCTTGTGCTAGGTCAAGTTCTAACACAAAAAATTGTAGTTGCGAGATAATTCAAACATTCAAAACTGTACCCACAATCTTTCAAGCACCTGTGGAACTTTGATAATGTGCACACGTGGACAGTCTGCTCTAAGGCTACTCGGTACTAGGATGGTTTGAGAAACGAGTTGATTCTCTCACTGAAGGTAACGTTTGTTGTCCTGAAATGATATAAAGACTTGCTGACTTACGTGCTCTGTCATCAAACTCTCAAAACAACACATATAAAGAAGGAGAAAAAAGAAATACCTTGTTCTGTGGAGAAGTACTAATTTGATATCCTACTGAGGTTTTAAACTGTATGTTTAATGTCATAATTTCGTCAGAATTTCATCTGAGAAGCTTTAATTTCTTGAATCAGTCTAAGTTTTATAGGCTGTTAGTGTTAATTCTTTTAATTTTACAAATTGTTATTATTTGATTGTAAACTAACATTGTGGAATTGAATTATTGGATATACTTTGATTCCTAAATAATTCAGCATGTGAATGGAGTCAAATCAATAATCTTTTGTCCAAGAATAACTTTAGTAGTAAAACTTTTGATTCAGGAAAAGGGCCAGCTGTGAAAGCTACTGCTTGGGTTTTTTTGTTTTGTTTTTTTGTTGTTTGTTGAATACGAAGAAACTACATTGGAACACTTCTTCAGCATACAAGTAAAAGCTGTTTTCTGTAGAAGAGTGTGGTTTTCAGAGGGAGTTGTACTAAGCTGCTGTCTTAAAAGGAGCTCTAGCCTATGAAATTGATATTTGTTGGGCAACAACCTGTGAACGTTGGAGCTGTGTCAGTCAATATGAGCTGCATCCTTGTGCGTTCATTTTTTTTGAAATATCTGCCTATGCAGACCCACTCTGTATGCGTGCCTGTCTGTCACGGGCCGGGAACACTGATTTGCCCAGGGGATTTCAGTGCAAACCCGGAAAGTCTCCTTTCTGCTTACTTTCATGCTTTGCTGTCATACTCGGTCTGATTAATGGTTTTTTGGTTCCATCTGCCACTTCATATATTCATTTACATTTCTAAACCTTGTGATATGAATCTCCTACAACACTGACCTTAGGGTAAAAAGCATCACGCAGTTGTTTGGTGTGATATTTTATGTACAAATTAAAAATAGTATTCCTCAGTCTGAAAAAACAAAAGCTGTGGTAACTGACGGTGAAAATACCATCTTTTATTCTAAGAGTTCACCTACAACAGAGTTGGCATACAGCTGATGTGGGATGTGGCACTCCTATCTGAGCATTGGATTCTGTGCTCAGTGGCTGGGTTTGTGATAGATGCTCTGAAGAACTGTTAGCAGCTGGTAGTAATGTGGGTTTGCCAGTCAGCAGTGAAGGTTACCCTTGAAGGAGCAGAGGGAGGTACTGAATACTGGTTTGTGCTACAATCTTGCTATGGAAAAGAAAGTCAGTTTACTTGGCAAGTTAGCCAAATGCGTGTATTCGTGTGCTTCTCAGTGTGCCTAGCATTTCAGCTTGCACACAGCCTAGCAACAGCTGAAACTAAAGAATAATTTCTAATTAATTTTTATCACATCTTTTTGGAGGAACAATTAATTCAATAGTTTAGTTTATTTTCTGCTACCTTCTGTTTAGAAAAGCTGACAATATGCTAGATTTGCACAAACTGTAGCTGGTTCTTTCTTCCTTCTCTGAGGCTGCAGTTTACAAGTCAAGGCTCAGACCTTTCCAGTATGCACAGCAATAATCATATTGATTGCAGTGAGATTGCTCCTCTGTGAGAGCTGGAGGCTAGGTGTTTGCAAGCACTCTTAGGGATGTCTAAATGCATGTGATAGCCTCAGGAGATGCATGTAATGGAAGATATTTGAATATCTTCAAATGCAAATGATGAACAATATTGGCAGCTAGTTTCAAGGTGTCTGTACATAGTTTATATTTTGGAATTATATTGCCTCTAGATTTCCATACTACATGAAGTAAGAAAACATTATGTTAACTGTTAGAAAGATGTTTTCAGCCTGGACTCTGTAAGTTTCTAACTATTAATAGAGTTTTCAGCTGGGAATACCTTTTGGCAGATGGCAGAACAGTTCCTTCCCATACCTCAGTTTGCTAATCTTGGTAACTATGGCACATGGGATTTTAAGCATTGCTGAATGCTGAGGATCATGCAGGTGTTCTTGCACCATCTGAAATATAAAAATGGGCACACCATTTTCGGGAGGCAGAATGTACTCGGAGCAAGTGACCTCATTTGCCTTATGCTGTTATACAGCGATAGCATGACCCTGCTGGACCTGCTTCCAGTTTAAATGCTGGGAGGAAGGCTTCAGGCAGTTTGTTTTCTGTTCTCTGGACAAATGTAGGTTTTCAGCTAGTGACTTTCACTGACAGGGGAATATGAATGCTCACATGTACATTAAGTGTCTTTTCTGCTATTGGTTTACTGGTTATGGGCCCCATGGCTGTTCGAAAAGTTCAGTTGGAGAGCTGAGAAGGCACAGGCAGTGACTGCTGGTGAAACAGCAGAGCTGTGCTTGGCTTCAACTCCCAATCTTACTGTTTGAACAAAATTGTGAGGAAGAAAAAACACTTCTTAGAACTATAGGAATGAAGTTGTCTGTATT